TTGTAATTCATGGCCCTGTTCCTGTTGCTACGCTCTGTAATCCCTCTTCCTACTGACACCTGTTTGCTGAGGAATCACTAAGGAATGCCAAGGTGTTAGCCATGATACGGTTTATTTCTAGAAATGTGATCTGGAATTTGCTTAGTAACCGGTTTCCTCAGAAGTGGAATGAACAAAGACAAAAACGCTGACCAAGCGCAGAGACATGCTTGCTGGCTCCTGGCAGGCAGGGTGATGAATAAAAACCTGCTTCCTGGACTCTCTGCAAGCCGGACTGATGAGGCTTCTTACAACCCGGAGTCCAACCTTCTCTCCCTAATTACAGCAAGCCTCTTTTAAAAAGGTCCATACAAGCACATACACACACACACACACACACACCACACATGGTTGCACAACAAAGGGATGTGAAATTGTCTCATCCACAAAAGCCGTATCCATGACAACCAGTTCCCAATCTCTGAGAGTGACCAACTAAGCCAACCTCCACCTCTAGGTCTTAAGTGCTGCAATGGGAATTTTTGAAACAAGAGCATCAAAACTTCTTTGATTGCGCAAAAACAAGCAAACAGCATTATGCAAGACCCTGCAATACAAAGTTAGCAGTCCATCAGCCCGCAAAGAATTGTGGGAAGTCATTAACATTTTAATCCTTGATCAATAAGGAAAACCCAGAGGCTAAAATTAGGAGAGAAACTTAAACATTAATGCAGACAAACAAATCACAGTACACGTGACGCAACACAATGTGTAAGTCAGTTCGTGAGTGAAAAGGCTGTAATTAACAGTAGCAGGACTTGATATCGCGCTTTTCTGGGTGAGAATCACTACCACACATGACAGCCCAGACAATGACAAACAAATTGGCCTGAACGCTAACAGCCCCCAGCATTACTATGCAGTTTGTGTTGGTGTGAGACATTAATAAGCTCTCAATAAACATCAACGGTCTGTTCTCGGGGGGATGACTATCATCCCTATGCCTCACCAGGAGGAGCCACTGACATTTGAGTCTGGGGCCCACGAGCCTTAAACTGCAGGTCATGACCCAAAACAGCTCATTTCTGGTCCAGCACATGACAGCAGCTTGTTTTCTTAATAGGGTGGGTATCAGTTTAAGAAGCTCATTATTTCAGGATTTCATTCAATAAGCATCATCACATTCAGCATGGATGACTTACTGTACCTCTTTACCCTGTCTGCCTTTGTAGCACTCTAACTGTTTGGGAAAAGTCTTAAAAATACAGTTTGCAAAGTTCCTTATAAACAAGCCTATAACCAAAAAATAAAAAAAGGTTCTATGCTAAAACATATTATTAAGCGCGTACAAACAGACTCTAGAGAAACATCCAGCTGCTTAACACGGTCATTGACATTTCAACCCAGTGATGATACCTATGATCAACTCTCAAGGTAACAATGGCAACCCCTCCCTCAACCCTCTCCACACACATAAGATCACTTCTCCCGAGACACACTCCTTGACATTTAGTCTATCTGCCATCAACCACAATGGGGCTGGGATCTCCGCGCTACAGGCTGTTTCTTTTACAGATGGTGGAGAGACTCTAAATCATTTTCAACCCCAAGGTCACAAGACGGTTAAAATAGAATTTATGCAAAGCAAAAAAAAAGTTGTTCAATAAACTGAGTTTATTCAAACTGCCCTTTGATTTTGAAATAATGGGAGATTTTTTAGCCTCTAGGCCTGTTCCAATAATTAATCAACTAAAATATCCTGCAAAGACAAAAATTCTAATAATTATGCTCCTGCCCCAAAGGCCAAAAGTACACAACTGGTTGTAGTGGGCAACTCACAGATGAATGTCTTAAACTTGCTTGTCAGAAGTTGTGTATGCTATATAATTACAGCAGTAAAATTGGACATGTCTCATGATTTTTAATTTTAAAATGCAGCAGATGCTTCACCAGTGGATATTTAATTACTAGCACCCTAGCAGGTGGTTATTTAGGGTCCCATGCTCAAAGGTACAAAGGCAGGCCATTGATTAGCCTCTTCATCATAACCTTCTGCGCTGGCTCCGAACTAGTAGAAACCCAACATAAATCTATACCGGGCTGCAGCACTGGCTGCACAAATATGTAAACAACAAACAGCAACATGGCACAATGTGAGGCAGAGATGAGTCATTAATAAGAGCTCTCGATAATCAGGCTGCGCTGCTCTGAGGGTGATAATCATCGGCCGCCTGCTCTCCAAGTGATAAGCTAATCAGCCATTCGTCTCCACCGAGCCGTCGAGGGGACTCATCATCATTGACATTTCAGCACAGGATCGGGCATATAGAGATGGGTTCAGGAAGGGAGGGGGGCACCTGAAGTGACTTAATTATCATTGCTGTGGAATGATATCCTCTCAACTCTATTTTGCCTGTTTTACTGAAGGTTAACGTGGCTCTTTAACCATCATGGTTAAAGTTTCACCGTTGACCCCTTTTTCACAGCGCTTGTTTATATTCCGTATAATTTAAAACACATAGAGATCATCAATCCGAACACACAACCTGGTCTTACTCAAAAAACGTTTCAACGTATGCCAGGACAGTCTTGGAAAATCAAGCTTCTACTTTCGCATTCAGTATCAGTAACTCACTGACTAAGTAGCTGAAATGTAAGTGTGGAGGTTTTTCCTCCGAGAAGACAGTTGTGTTGTTGCACGTTCAAATTAATTCATAACCTGTGGGGATACTGTCATGACAATCTGACAGCTTTTTAACAATACAGGCCTGATGTAGCAGAGTCTCAGCTGAGTATCCGTCATCCTCACACCAACCTGTGCTGCATGGCTTACAGCACTGGGGTCTCCAGTACCGTAGTCCTCATTTATGTGCCATTACACTGGGGTTTTCCTGTTCTTGTGTCTTACATTGCCCCAATTATGCATGAAGAGAAAGAATGTCATTACAAAGCAAATTCCAATCAAGGTTAAATCTTCCTCCTATCTTGTACACTCAGTCAAAATCACAGTTCACATTGACACCTGTTATGCAACAGATGCTACAGCATAATAAAAAAAAGCACAGGCTCTGTGGCTCACAGCCTTGAAATAACTTGCTCTCCCATTTGCTTTGATCTCAGAGGCATGTCTCCCAGGCGTGTCAATGCACGAGACAACGAATGTCCTGGCTCCATAATGACCCATCTTCTTTTTCTTTGGTGACAATTTGGGGACGGCACTGACAGATGATACTAGTTACACCCAGGTGAAAACAACAGGCTGACAGATTCATGCTGACAGAGCGGGTTCACAGATTTTTATGCCGATCACTGTAGCCTGACTGCCGGCTGTTATGAATTTTGTCGCTGGTCCCAGTTGGGGAAAAAAACTCTCGAAATCGTTTCTGCTGGGAGTTAGAGCATGTCTGAGTTACTCAGTGGTGCATTTTAGTAAAGTTATCATAGCTTGTGGTTATGGTTATCTCCATATCTATCACTGTAATGTTCTTATAGAGACATAAAGTGTTGCTACGGTTGTTTATGGCGTATTAGTCCCTCAGTAAGTGTCTGCTTTAGTGACTTCAGAGTAGTCTTATTGGTATGCATTTCTGGTAACCTATTGATTATCAATAATACTCATCAGAAAGTATTTAAATCACAGCAGTGTTACTATAACTTGCCTACAGTGCTGCAACAGGGACTTTGTGTACATTGGGCATTCTGTGTTGCTCAAAATAAGTAACCTGGCATAAATGTAGGTATTTTATCTCTTAAGGTATTACTGTAATACTCATACAGTGTCTTGCATTGTGCTTGCATCACTCGAGAGTTTACAGTTTACAGTAGAGCTCAACTTACATGAGCAGCCTGTGTTGGCTTATCACAGAAACATCTGTATCAGTGTTTGGCAGATACGTAAATAGAAGGTGCAGTAGAAGTTATTTTTGACCCTTGTTTTTCTTTTTGTTGTATGTCTTTTTATAGTTCGTAAATTTAGATTATTAATACTGTGTTAATGTTAGTTAGTTGTTATTTCCACCTTATCTTTGCCATTGCTGTCAATTAGTATTTTTTTCAACCTTGACATTACCTGTCTCAACACATTAATTTAATACCCAAGCACAACTTTTTAACTGGATTTAAAGAATTATTTTTAAAAAATGTTATGTTAATTGTTTATGTATAAAAAAATAAAACGAATATGGGCCATTTTTAAATCTATTTTTCACTTTGGGTATTAATATCAGCACTGGTCTCTAAAATCAGATATCCATCAGGCTCTAGAAACTGGTCATGATTCATGGTTACCTCCTTAAACAAACAGCATAAAATAATGTAGGCACAAACCACTGACTTTTGTTTTTTTACTACTATATTTCTATAGAGTCTGCATTTTATTGTAGGATTACTGCTGTGCATATTCATTAAGGGCTCTCAACAATCATTGTTCAAGGGCCACCTGAAGAGTAGGGGCCGAGCACTTCTCATTTCCTGCCGAGACCGTGTTTCCCATCACCACCCTGTTGCTCTGCAGAATGAGGACCAATTTCTGCCATTATTTTTAATGGTTAGTAATCAGACCTGCGGCTCTGATTACGCTCCATTTCCCTTACACACTTTCCAACAGGTAAACACTGATTACAGGTCAGCCGTGTTGGAAGGGTTTGTAGAGGCTCAGAGAGGATTAGGCTTCCTGAACAGTCACCTGCCGTCTGAAGCTGCGCGGAATTAGGACAAAAAGCACACACCAGGAGAGCCACACCTCGCGTAATGGCTTACCGAAACTCCACGCACACGTTTGGAGTGTTTCGACAATAAACTTTTACTGCAAGTACAGTCTATCTAAACAGCCACCAGAGAGGACACAGAGACGTGACAGTGAATACATGCAGCACAGCCAGGGCGCGGGAGGCGCGGCTGGAAGTGCTCCGGATCGCCCACATTCAGGGCACACCGGGCTGGAAGTGCGG